TTACAGCGCAGACAGAGTTACAGCGCAGACAGAGTTACAGCGCAGACAGAGAGTTACAGCGCAGACAGAGAGTTACAGCGCAGACGAGCGCAGACAGAGAGTTACAGCGCAGACAGAGTTACAGCGCAGACAGAGTTACAGCGCAGACAGAGAGTTACAGCGCAGACAGAGAGTTACAGCGCAGACGAGCGCAGACAGAGAGTTACAGCGCAGACAGAGAGTTACAGCGCAGACGAGCGCAGACAGAGTTACAGACGAATAGGGTTGGGTACCGAAACTCGGTGCCAATAGGGAACCGGTTCCGACGTAAACGGTAGTAACCAGACCGAATAAGAACGAAAATTTCGGTGCCTGATTTCATTAGGCACACACGCACACACACACACACACAATGTCTCTCCCTCTCAGCCGTGCGTGTGCTACACAGTTTGGAGCACAGTTTCTTCTGTCTCGCATGCGCGCTCTTGCTCGCAAGGTTTGGCTGCATTTCATGTGTAAAATTACGCGTCAGAGCGCCCTCTGGGTGTGCCGATAGTCTGAATCCCATATAGAATCAAGCCAATTCATTGGCTGATGGCGCGGCCGCCGCATCGACGCACTTACGTCGTCATATTATGTTGGCGCGCGCGCGCCATCTGCTCCTCAGATTTCTCTACCGAAAAAGGAAGCTGATCGGCAGCGCGAGGAGCTTGGCAGCGTCCCGTTCCCAATTGAAGAAGCAGTGGATTTGTAGGCTGCTGTATCACGTGCCGTTTGAACTGACGCGCTACAGCGATCTGTCACATTTCAAAGAGCCAAAACGTTATTTATTGTGTGAATCTCGTAAAAATATTGACAGAATCTGACAGCTGTGGATTTGTTCCATATCAAAAGTAACCTTCTCTGTCTTGTCTGTCAGTGTCCTCTTTGTTTGCGATTTTTCTGTGTGAAAAGGGTCATTGGTCTCACGGTCAATGCGTGAGAGTTGGCAGCTCTGCCTGCTAGTAATCTCTATTAATCTCCAGTATTATTACATTGTTTGATACAATATTGTTTCATTTGATATTATGTAAATATGAATTTTTATTTTATATTGGTTTTATTGTTACCATATGTTACTTGTATTTATATTGTTTAAAGATTTAAGTTAATATTGTGTCCAGTTTGGCCCTCTAAATTAAAGGGTATTATTTTTTGTTAAAGTGTGTGCGGTTTCATTTTCTTAAGTACCGATTTAAGAACCGTTTAAGCACCGGAACCGTTTAAAAAAATACAGAGTAGGTACTGGAATCGGATAAAACCCAAACGATACCCAACCCTACAGACGAACGCAGACGTGATTCTCCAGCGTTCACTCACGTAGAAAGCGCAGTCCAGCACGGGCGCCAGATGCTGGTACTTCATCCTCATGCTGTTGGCGCTGACGTCGTAGAGCCGGACCGAACAGTCCCAGGACGACACCAGCAGGAACTGAGGCGAGGCCGGGCTGAACTTCACAGCGGAGATGCTGTCGTCCGGGCCCTGGGTCAGCTTGAACTCGTTGGCTCCGGTCATCTGAACACATTCATTAGTGGAGCATTAATTACTGCACTGTATTAAAGCCCCCCTGTGGTGATGTTGTTTATGTGTCTATGTGGTGTTTTTAATACGCTTTAAGACACACCATGTGTAAGTTCATAAGTCGACAGCATTCCTGAGTATTTCCTCCTTAAACCAAAGACAGTCTCAAACACACAGTTTGAAATCGCTGGTGTTTCTGACGTCACAAACGACCTTGTAACCAATCAGATCAATGTGTGATCGTCAACCAGTGGATCTCTGAGCTGAGTGAGTGAGTGGAGGCGGGGCTCATTTGCATATTCAGAGAACCACACATACTAAATGAGGCGAGGGTGTAGAGTTAGGCTACATCCAAGCCGTTTATCAGGCATGAAGAATTTTTTTTCCAAGGAAAAAAACGTTTAAATATATTAATTTCGGTGATCAAATATTAGTTTTAAGGGATAAAACTGACTAACGTTACAGGGGGACTTTAAGACCCTCATCGCTAGTACCAACACTCACTCATCAGCCTAAGACATGAATCAGATCCTCTGTGTGAGTTGTAACTTTACTAGTCATCAGATTCACCACTTATAAAACTGCCCCAAAAACCCAGACAGTAGGAAGCCACCTAACAACAGCTTAGCAACCACCCAGATACACCCTAGCAACCACATAGTAAACCTCCCAGCATTGTGAACATCCTTGTTTCTGCTCCGATTCTCTTTAAAAAAGGAATAAAACTCAATCTAAAACCGAAAGTAATAATAACTAAACTCAAGTAAGTTTAAATTACACTGGAATGTATTAAAAACTCTAAAACCGTCAGCCTTCGACTGAATGTATTGAAGCACTGCGCAGCTGATAAAGACTGTCACTGTAGAGATTATTCAGAGTTCAAACTCGAGTAAATCTCTCTGAAACAGAGCCGATGTGTTTATTATCGGATATGTGTATTAAAATGAGCAGAATGTTCGTTAAAACTCACCGCGAGGCTCTGGTCTGCTGCTATTCTGCCGCTCATCGAAGCTCTACTGTGATTGGATGCTTTCACAACAGCGCTCTGCACTCATTGGTCCGTTTCAAAACTCCCTCTAATGTTCTCTAGTGGTGATTGGTTACAAGGATGAACTCCGGGCATGAACGGGAACATGGCAGAAACACGAGACAACGAAATCCCGCGAGATGTGTGCGTATTTCCGCTTGTTGAATCGGAGCTGTATATCAATCCTTTTATTTTCATTTCTCTTCATTTGTTTTCTTTCAAGATTTGATGAAGGCCAAATCGATATATAATAATTTTAAAGTAGCTAAATGAGGAATGGTATTATTTTAACGTTATATTTTAACGTTTTGACTATATAAGAGGATTTTTCAACATTATAGAGAATTGTGATCAAATAAATGCGTTCCTCTATTCCTTTCATTAAGAAATAGTTCATTTTTCATTTGCTTAATGTACTTGATTATTAGTATTATCACTTTATATTTAACATCCAGATTCTGTCATCATAAAATTGATTTTCTGAAGAATTAAAGCACATTTGTGACCGCAGACACAATTTAAACATTCAAAAGGTTTTGAGAAACAAATAAAGAAACATTCCAATCGGCATTTATAACATCAACATTTAGAAAATGATAAAGATTCAACAATAAACAAAATGTAGGCCTATTTGTGTGTGGAAACACTTTATATTTAAATATTTAAAACACTTAAACTGTGTTCGCTGATGATAATGAAACTCGCGCATTATTGAATGAAAATATTCATAAATCCGCAGTTTGGAAGATGATGATTTTTCTCTGCAGTCCTGCACAATATTGCTTTAGCTGCAGATCCATGATATTATTGTAGCCTATTATGAAGAGAATATAGACTTTTGTTGTGTCGTTATAAGATTTCAATTTATATAGGCCTACTAAATTGAAATTTAGTATAAATTGCGCGTTACTGAATGAAAATATAACACATCAGACATGTCAGCATTATATGTATCTTCCCTCAACCCTGCCACGTGTCTCTGCTGTGTCAATGTGTATAATATTAATTTTTTAGAGCAAACTTGTACACTGTATTTATCAACAGGATTTGAAGAGTTATATCTGTTTTACTGCTTTTATATTTGCATTGTTCACTGTAATCTTCATATTGTGTTTTTCTGTCCAGGGACAACGGATGGAAAAAAGCCTTTATTCTGGTGCATCAGCAGCAATGCTAATTAATGTACACTGTCCCGTCAAATACATTAATAAATAAATAAATACGATTTTT